CTTGGAACAAGCATAAGTAGGAAATTTTTAAAAACAGCTAGCTTATGGTGGAAAAAAAAAGGCATTTTGTCATACAAATCTGTACTTGAATCCTAAAAATTAATTGCTAGTCGTGTGGCCATGAATTTCTCTCTTTAAAAAAATATATATTTAAATTTTATGGTTCTGGGGATTGAACCCAAGGGCCATGAGAATTCTGGACAAGCCTTTTCTTAACTTCTCTGAGTTTTAGTCTTCACAACTGAAATACATTATTAAAATTATATGGTTAAAAATTATTGTGGTTGCCACATGATAGCTATTTAATAAATGTTAGTTTAATTCCCTTACCTATGTTCTTTAGGGCCATATGAATGTGTGTTAAAAATGTCACCTAGTTCAGATTCACTATGAATTTAAGCTTTTTAAACTCATGAATATCTGCCTTCATCAAACTACTTTTTAAAATACCAGTGTCTGGGGGCTGGGGATTTAGCTCAGTGGTGCCACTGCCTGCCTCACAAGCCCAAGATCCAGAGTTCGATCCCCAGTACCAAAAAAAGGCCAGTATCTGAAACAATAAAAATAATAACAACCATAGTAGCATCTGGTACTTGGTACATACTCAGTATTTATTGAATGAAAGAATAGATAATCAGTAAATGCTCCCCTTGTTTATGAAAATCAGTTAGACTTTCATATAGATCAGTTATGTTTCCTTAAAATACCAGTGACTTTTCCCCTTAAATTATGCAACTGAACAGTGAATAGCATTAAACCATAACAATCTTTTAAGACATTATGGCACAAAACCACATTTTCCTCTCCCTGATGTTATTTTTAAATCTGTCTTCTGGAATTGTTTAGTCCAATTTTGGAAATCAATGAGCTATGAGTCCTAAATTGAAAAGTGAAAAAGAAGATTTAGACTAGAGCTTTGAAGAAATATTGTATTTGCAATCTTTAGAACCCGGTGTTTTATTATTAATTGTAGTTGTTGCAAGGAAATTTAAGTAGGACTTGGTCATCATAAATGCCACCAAATGTATTTGATGGTACTGGTTGTTAGGCGTGTTTATTAAATACCAGAAGTTTTATAATACAAACCCACATACACTTGCACACACTTTGAATAACTTTAATAGTTTTAATTATATAAATTAATTATGTAAAAGATAGTCACTGCTTTCAAATTTTCATCAAAAAACTTTGGAAAGGATTTTCATCAAAAAACTGTGGAAAGGATAGATTTCCAGAGAAGTACAATGATAATAATACAGTCAGCATCTAACCTTCACATTACAGCACATTTTACAGTGAATTCCAAATGGATTTAATTTAAATGAAAACTACCTAGAAGGTACATAAATATTTAGTTGGTCTTTAAGTAAAAAAGGACATTCTAAGCATAACAGCATTGGAAGAAATCACAAAGAATATATAGAGAGATTTGACAGAATAGAAAAAGGTTTGAATGTCAAAAATATAAAATTAGAAGCAGACAACAAACTGGGTTGAATATGACAAAGGGTTAATCCTTTCATATATAAGGACTTCTTACAGATCAGTAAGAAAACCTGAGTATACAAATGGAAAAATTATCAAAGGTCATGTGCACGCATGTATGTATGTTTTAAATTCCTCTTTGTCCAGGAAACCAACAGTTTTCTGCATCCTCTTACTAAAACCATGGAACAAACTTCCCTCAATGGCAAACCAGATTGAAAGTTTTTACCTATTCAAGCACTCTTTGGATATCTGAAATGTCCTACACTTTTTGGGTAGATTATACAGAATTTCTGCCATTCTCCCCCCAGAAATAGTTCCCCTATTTCTATAATAGAAGAAAATTTTGTCATCAATAGTTTCTTCACGTTACCATATTTTATGAACTCTGGAATTGTAACTATCATGTCTGCAAATCTGTAGACTCTCCAGACCAAGTTTTAGGAGTTAGGGTAGCGGCGGGAACCAGAAGGCAAAAAGCGTTTAACAAAAGTAGATTTAGTAAACACAGCACATGTCTTTAATGGGTGCTTGGTCCATTTGTAGTTTAGCACATAAGACTAAATTTGAACAATGAAGAACATGAGCTTGGCTTTACCATTCTTAGAATCTTGGTGTAAACTGAGAATATTTTGCACAGAACCTTGAGAAAAAACTTTAAATTCATCTCAGCTGGTGGTTGGCTCTCACCCATACCATGCAGTTGAAGAGATGGGGTGGTGAAGAGCAGAGGAGGAGCGCCTGATGACACTTCTAGAAATGGTAACTATTTCTTCAGTGCACCACAGGAAAACCCCTCAGGTGCCACAGGTGGGCCAGATGACCCTCTGGCACATTAAGCTCCGTGTCCATGCTGGGGTTTCCTTTGCATGATCTAAAATGTGTCCTCCATAATAGGAAAATTAACAATTTTGACCTTTGTCAAATAGTTTCCTTGTTAATGTTGGTCCCATTAGGCAAAACGGGCAAATACCTCAGGCTTCTCTGAGAACTCATTGATTTTGGGGGGAAATCAATTAGTTGAACAGACTTGCCAGTTTATAAGAACTGTGTACAACAAGTAATATATATCTACTCCTTTTGGCTTTATTTATAAGCTCCATCAAAATAGGGACTGGGTGTGCCTGTGATACGTTCATTTAAGCAATGAAAGACCATGTTTTATATTCCTATTGTTCTCCCTCCTATGAACCACAATGGTAGACAGCTAAGAGATGTTTACGTACTAATTGAAATACTTTAAGTGGTACCCAAAGTTCAGGATTTATTTAGGTATTCATCTTCTCATTCCCTGCTCCTGGAGGTACAGGCTGCCAATATTGATGACAGGGTGAGACACACACTTGTGGTGAAAAATTGCTACTGCCTTTCCCCACACTTCCAACACTTTAATTCCAGTTCTCAATGTTTAACCAGTCCCATCACTTAAGCTGTGAAATTACCAGGACTGAAAACATGGTGTGGACATATTCATTCTTATTTAACTCTTGAAAATTGTTAATAGAACCAAACAAAACTTATCTGCCTTTCTATGTGCTTAAACCATAATTTTGATAGAATTTCTCAATACTGCTTCTCAATACTGGAAATCATCATTTCATCCCTTTGAGTCTGGGGATTGTCAAGGTAAATGACTTTTTCGAATTTCTAAAGCATACATTTATTTATTTATTGGGCTCTCCCTCTTTGAAAAGAAGTAATTTACAGAGGTCACTCATAGGGAATACTTTAAAAGGCAATAGGTAATTTTAAAAGATTACACCTTACTCGTTTACCTGTTTGGAGATAGGAATCCAGAAACAGTCTCTCTGAGGCAAGGTGCCCACCAGTGGAGCCCTGTAAACTTACTGGAGTCTGATTGAATAGTTAGCGACTTTGTGTCTTTATGGCAGGGCTGAGATTTCTTTGGATTGAAGGAGGGGACATGAAAACATAAGGGAGAGGCAGGACAGTAAGCCAGGAGCAGCAGCAGCCAAGAGAGGGTTGTCATGGAAGCAGCAAAGCCGGAAGCTCAAGCAGTGCACTAAACACTGCTCACTGCCAAGAGCAGCCCACGAGGTCCTGTGGATATCAATGTGTCCAAAAGTCAAGGGAAGACATCAAGAGAAACCAATTGTTTTATTAGTGCCAAGTTCACTTTGTTGTAGGCCCTGGGATATTTCATAATAAGAAATGCAGTATAAGCCAAAAAGGAAGAAATAGCAATTCTTTTTTTTAGATGGATTCTAGGTATAACTCAGGCACTCAGAATATTTTATTCAGGCCTAATTCTGTTTCTGTCTTTATTCCAGCTATGTAGATTTAAGATAGCCTTTGATAGATGCCTAATTATTTTGGTTACCTCAACAGTCATAAAAAATTAATAACTCTAAAAATTAATGATATATATATATCTTTATTCATTGTTTTATCTAATTAGTTGCTACAGTAACACTGGCCTCAAAATATTTATATACAATGAAGAAATTATTCAGTAATGAAAATTTACTACTAACTGGCCAGTTAGGGTAGGCACATTTTTGAGTAATACTGATTTAGCTTTAAATTTCAATATAGTCTCCTCACCAAAGTACAAGTCAATTAACCGACTATCATAAACACTTTGTAGGTATGGGAAGAATTTACAGGATCCAGCAGTCTGACTTTCTTTTTGCTTCAGAAACATTTATACATCATATCATACATATTAACTTAAAATAATGGCCCTGGTAATGATAATCTGTAGCTTGAAAGTTAAGGAAATATTTCTAATGTGAATATCATCTTCTTTTCAGTAGTGTATTCCAGACAGACGTGTGTCAGAGTAAAGTAGTTTTGGTTGGGTGTGTGTGATAAAACAGGATTATTCCTTTCTGCTTCCCTGAACTTCTAAAGCCAGAGGGGCTTTACCTGTCAAATTCCCTGAACCAATTGAGGGGCCAAGTGACCAAAAACCGGATATATCAATAATATTCTAGTCTTTTTGTTTCCCTAATGTAAGCAGCTCTGAATTATACACACGAATGATCCTGAGTGGTTCTGGGGAACTTTTTATTACTAACCCCATCCCAAAACCAATGGCCAGATAGGACCCAAAATCATACTATTGAAAATATTCAAATATATGTTTAAGTTTTCAAAGTATGAAATATACATGCTGCAGAATTATTTGTGATCAGAAAGTTTATAAGATTTGATTTCTTTAAAGTGTTGTCTTAAAATAGTTGGTGTCTCCAGGGATTTAGCTCAGTGGTTTTGCCGCCTGCTGCGCAAGCACAAGGACCCGAGTTTGATCCCCAGTACCAAAAAAAAAAAAGTTGGTGTTTTCTTTGTTAACCTGAGTGAACTGAATATGGAAAGGTAAGAGGGACGTCACCAGAGAAGGTCTTACACATGGGTTGACCTATGCCGCATGGACTGAGCGTGCATGTGAGCCACACATGCGCCTGTGGGCCGGGCAGATGTACAGCTAGCTCCTCCTTGCCATCCTTGATTTCCTCCTCCTCATGAAACACTTACCGATTCCTGTCTCCTAGATGACACAGGCTGTCCTAGCAGCCAGTCAGTGTCTCCTGTGAAGACGCCCTCGGACACCGGAAACAGCCCCATTGGCTTTTGCCCTGGAAGTGATGAAGACTTTACCAGAAAGAAATGCACAGTTGGAATTCCTGGGGAGGGAAGCATCCCATCAGCTCGGCACAAGAAAGAATTGAAGTCAGGCCTTGTAAAGCCAGGTAAGTGTACATTGGCTTCATGTTTTCATGGGGCATTAGGACTTGAGTGCTTCTCTGTTTGAAACAAAACAACTATGTATCAAATCAGGAATAACTAGTTCTGCACCCAGAATACAGAACAGTTTTAAAGGAGGTGGAGTGTGGAGTGGCATATTTTGTGCAACAGTTATTAATAATCAAGTGAACACAACAACATGTATCCATTATAAAGAATTCTTTTAAAGAAACCACATTGAGGAAATGTGTACTGGATAGTCTAACAGACATTTAAAGTATATAATTGACTCTAGCTAAGTTATTAAAACAAGTTGTGAAATAAAAGACATTGCTTGGTGCAGAACAGTTTGTGATGGAAATCCATAGAGATGGGCACACTTGATGACTTGGCTATTTTGTTTTCTTTTATATGAAGATGACGGTACATATGTATATATATTTTCAATAATTTTATTTCAGAAATATTAAATTCCATAAGGTAAAATGAAAATGATTATTGCCATGAGTGAATGTCATGCCTATCATGAGCATCAGAAAAAGTCAGTTGTCAGAATCTGCAAATATAAATAAATATTTAATATCTCAGAAATATAAACAAATACAGTTTTAGAAAAACTAAAGTGATAACTTTAAAGTCAAGGAAACCCAGCATTACCATTCGGAGACAACCTCTATATTGAATTCTTTTCCTTAACACTCATAGTTACACTACACATATTTCTGTTGAAAGGCAAATTAGTGGCTTGCACGGGACTTCACTGCATGTTTGCCTTCAGATTTGTGTGTGATGCCATTGGTATGAAGGGGCTCCACATGGTTTCCCTTCGATGGGGCCAGGGCTTCCTCCTGAATCCTCTGTCCCGGAGGCGGCATCTCTGTCATCCCTGTGGCCCCTGAGTAATTGATGTGCCCAGTCTGTCATGGCAGTTTATTCTTCATCTTGCTGTGGTCCACCAAGGAGAGTGTCATTTCATCTCAGAGCAAAACTTAAGAAAAAGAAAGAGAGAAAGAAAAAGAAAATGTTGTGTAATTAATCGCATAGCCAATAAATAAAACTATTGTCTGTGCACAGACCGGCACTGGCTCACTCTCTCCCTCAGTTCAGTTGTCTTTCTTTAAGTCGAGGTGTAATTCACATATAGATAAGTTCACCTAATCAAAGTGCACCGTCAGGCGGGTCTTAGTCTGTTCAAACTCCTGTGCAAATATCTGTTATGTAACTCTTAACATTTTCTCCTGCCTCCAAAGGGAAGCTTCGTACTCCTCGGCATTCTCGCTCTCCTTTCTCTCTCCCTCTGGCCCTGGAACTGTCCTCTCCCTCTCTCTGTCTCTCTCTGTCTCTCTCCTCTCTCTCCCTCTCTCTCCCTCGCTCTGTCTCTGTCTCTCTCGGTCTCTCCGTCTGTCTCTCTGTGTGTCTCTCTCTTTCTCTCATTGTCTCTCTCTGTCTCTGTCTCTCTGTCTCTGTCTCTCTGTCTCTCTCTGTGTCTCTGTCTCTGTGTCTCTCCCTCTCTGTCTCTGTCTCTCTGTCTCTGTGTGTCTCTCTCTGTCTCTCTCTTTCCCTCTGTCTCTCTGTCTCTCTCTCCCCCCATCTCGATTTGGATCTGCCTACTCATTTCATACAAATGGAATCACGTGTTATTTGGCCTTTTGTTTTTCTCTTCTTACACTTAGAAGAATGCTTTCAAGGTTCACCATTTAGCACATATCGGTACTCCATTCTTTTTTATGGCTGAATGATATTCCTTTGTATGTATTGCCACATTTTAAAATAAGTGTTTTAAGAGTCAATTTCAGGTCTACAGAAAAATTAGGTGGAGATTCCTGAGCGTTCTCACATACGCCTCTCACTGTCACCGCCTCCTGCTTCCCGTTATTAACATCTTGCCTCTGTGAAACGCTATATCATGTCATTTATCTGTTCATACGAACATTTGGGTTGTTTCCAGTTTTTAGCTATTATAAACAATAGTGCTATGAATGTTGGTGTGCAACTTTTGTGTGAACATGTTTTCAATTCTGTGGGGTACCTGCCTAGGAAAGAAATTTCTAGGTCTTAACAGTAACCCAGCAGTTACCATTCTAAGGAACTGCCAAGTCTGTCAGCTCCTTTCCAAAATGGCTAAACCATTTTTCATTCACACCAGCAATGCACGAGGGCTCCAGTGTCTCCACATCCTGGTTAACACTTGTTACTGTCTGTATTTTTTTTACCAGACCCCTTTGCCTTAGTGTGTTTTGTGTTGCTATAATGTGGTACCCAAGACTGAAAAATGTAGAAGGAAAAGAAATGTGTTTCCTACAATTTTGGAAGCTGAGAAGTTCAAGGTCAGGGGGCCTGCATCTGGCGTAGGCCTTCTCCCGGGATCATAACATGGATGTATACCAGCTCGGCTCTCTTTCTTCTCATAAAGCCACTCATCCCATTATGCTAAAGACCTATGCTTTAGAAAAGAAATGGCTGTGTGCCCAAAATATGCTACTTCACAGCTTTCATCACTGTCCTTTATTAAGACTTATGAATCATAGTTTCATGACTTGCCCAAAGGCAGAGCCTGAAACAACAGTTTTGTCAACTGGCTCTGGTTTACTTGCTCATAGGCATAAATGTCACTTCAGCTGTGATCTTTTTATTGCCTGTATTGAACCAAGGTAAAGAGATCCTTAGAGCTTCCAAGTTGTCTAAGATTCCTAATGTCATCATTAAAAAAACTCTGTAGCCTTTGAATGGGACCCAATTCTGTACAGTATGCTCTTTCTATTTGAGAAGTCTGTACCATGACCTATAGTTCTCTGAACTTTGGGCAGAGTAAACCTGTCAGTCTCATAAATGTGAAGTGAGGAAATCCTGGAATCGAGTCCCTTGGCTGACACTAAAGTTTATAAAATGCAGACATCATCTGGTAAACCACAGAAAGGTCCTGCTCTTGCGTTAAAGTGGTCCACCTGCTCTGCGGTCTCACGTAACCCTCTTCCCTCAGCCAAAGCTCATCTTCCACTCTCGATTCACGTTCTACTTTTTAAAATAACTGACTCATTAATACCAGTACCAGTTTCTTAAAATAGCAAGCAATTAGAGCCTCCTATACAGATGCTCAGAGGCTCTTTAACAGTAAGTAACCCGTTTTAGGTCCCTTGTTCTAGATTTTGGAAGCCTGCTGTTCTCCTCAGAAAGCAGTTATTGAAATGGCCCTGAGGTCCCTAAGATAAAGAGCTACAGATAAACAGAATACTGTTTCCAGAGTCCATGATGCAGAGGGAGAAAGGAAATATATCACTGGATGCTGGGAAGGGCTTGCAAGGTGAGCTGAGCAATGAGCAAGCCCCAGCTTTGCCAACGGGGCCCTGTGGCGTGGGCAGCGGGAAAGCCCTGGCTACCAGGCAGGGGCTCCTTCTGGAACCTTCCTGGAGACCATGCACCTCCTGTCATTTTGGCTTCCATCGCTTAATATTTTTGCAGATTTAATTACAAGTTGCCAACAAGAGCAAGAGAAGACATTCCTGTGGTCCAGTTGGACAATGGCTTTGTGTGCTCCTATTTTCCTTTTATTGAGAATTCAACAAAACATTCAAGACTGAATCTCCAGAGTGGAATATTGTTGTCATAGAGTAGATGCCCAAAAGATACTTAAACAGGAAAGTGTGCATGGTTTATCCAAGTGAATAATGTTTTGTGTGACAGGAACATGGAAAAGATGAGGTAAAAATGCCGAAACATTATCCTGCTTTGGGGGGAATTTGTAGTTTAAGGAGGAATATGGAAGAAGGATAAATCTAACCTGTAGTACTGACGCACAGGGAACTTGCTGAGGAATCCGGGATGTTGACATTCCTTCTCTGTGTGCCCCACCTCTGCAGTGTGCTGCCCAGACCGTTTTTACCCAAACATGAGAGGCCTAATTGGATTATTGCGCCAGTACACTAAATGGCAATTCCTGAGCCAACTTAAATGCTTGGTTTATTACTTGGGGAAGAAGAGAAAGATCTACCTGCATTGTTTTACAAATACAAATACTAAATCCTTTTCCCATCCTTATAGGGGTGGGGAGACAGTTACACAAGTTAAACCAATACAGCAATTAGAAAACATGAAAGGAAAAACACCACCTGAGGAGATTACAGAGATAAGTAGTGAGCAAGGGGTTAAGGCCACATTAATTTAAAAGAAATTCACATTTGCAGACCAAAATGTTGAAATCTGCATTTGAAAGATGTCACTGTATCTCCGAAGCTTTCAAACCAAGTTAGTCTTCCTTGTCACCGGACACCACCAGGGTATTGAAACCGGAGACCTGGCCAAGCTGCACTAGAATAACCTCACAACAATAGCCAGGGATTGGTTACTTAGAAAACCACTTTCCCACAGTCAGAGGCATTTACTAGGAAACTCAGAAGGCACCGACTCAGTTAGTGATTGATGCTTCCACACACAGCCAAAGCCCACAGATGGCTCCGTTCTTATCATGAGCACCATCTCCACTTCAAAGTTAATTCTGAGAAATAACAGCAGGCAAGTTAGCTGGAGTGGGTCATTATTCTATACAGTGATAACTTGCACTACTTCGAGTAGTTGCAGGAGAACGGTTCAGGCTTAGACCACTTCTCTCCCTAGGTCACACAGATCATCCTGTGCTGGGAGAAAACAGTGTGTGGTGGGGGGGAACAGTTTCTAATCACCAGACTCAAGTCCAACCGGTTGTGTTCAGATTTTCTTATCACTGTCTGATCTTCCCCTGCTTGTTACCTTTTTGAAACTTTGAGCAAAGAGGGTTCTTAAAAGATTAAATTAATTCCTCCCTGGCTGTTCGTCTTGGTCCTCTGTAGCCTTTTTGAACCCAGGCCCGCCACACTAAGGTACCTCCCCAAACCCTTTTTACTTTTTGTGTTGAGACAGGGTCTCACTGGGTTGCTGAGTTGCAAGCTGAACTTGAGCTTACCATCTTCCCACCCCAGCCTCTTCACAGTTACAGGAAAACTCCTGAAACTCTCTCATAGAACTTGTATTT